AAAACTCAAAAGTTTTCAGCAGTTTTCCTTTTTATTTTGAATTTGTCACCTCAAATTCAAAAACTTTTGCAAATGTTTCAAGTTTTTCACCTACATTTTTGGTGAAAAACTTCTGTAAAATTCAAAACATTTTTCACCAATTTTTTCACTGAAAAACTTGAAATGTTCAACCAGTGTCTATGACAGATTTGACAATGTATGTGACTTCTCTGGTGCAAAAAAATCAGCTCATGGGAACATACTTGGACCATACTAGACTTCATTTATCATAGAAACAACCTGGAATCCCATATCATTCAATATAAGGTATTTTTACAAGTTTCTTTCTATCACTAACTGCGCATGAATTAGGCCAGCAAACCTAGCTAGGTTTCATCTGAATCTGTCAGGAACTGACCGAATTCTTTGGAAATGTCTAAAATGGGAAACATTTTGGTCGCGCCTTCGGTACTGCCAATAGCTGTAAATGAATATATTAATTTTCTACAATTTTTTATTTGGCTACCGATTCATCTATTTTCAGTTAGCATCTTGACCTAGGTCAAGATTTTGCTTTATCCGATGTGATGCTGGGGTATATTTGCTTCTCATAATGTATCCAAATTTAGCTAGATGATTACATCGGGATTCGAACCCACGTAAGCTTAGGTGATGGGGAAAAGCCTTGAGCCATCAATGAGCCGCACATGAGTCACCGTGGCTCATGGATTCATGAGCCACGGTGATTGCCCCTTGTGCATGCTATCACTATATCCCGCGCAATGTCCACGACCTTCTCTCGGGCTGATTGGCACTGGCAGGGTCCCAGTGTCATTGTGGGCGCATCCATCGTTCAACATTCAACGTTCGACGTCCATGTCACTCACCGACGCAGACAAGGAAGCATGGTTAGCCACCGTGTCAATTTTATGTTTGTCCGCGGTTTATTTAAAACTAATTGGCCAATAATTGGCTGCGCTTGCCTGAGGTCCTTCCACGGTGTGAATTCGCGGGGACTCGGAATGTGGTGCTTTGTTCAAAAATCCAACCCCTTCAAAAACAAGGACATATCACGAAAACCAAGGCGTAGGCCCGAGTCGAACGAGTACCTCTGCTGAGTTAATTGCAACATATGGAACTGCCCTCCCAGCGCTACCACGCCTCCCTACCTAATATACATTCCTCTATTTATGCAACCCATTTTGCGTGAACTTCGAACAAGGCCTGCCGGACACAAAAGGAGAACTCCCCAAACCATAGAGCGTGGGCTCGAGTCGAATGAGCACCTTCAGCTGGACTGTACAATACTACCCGATTACATGCAGACACGCTTGGAGCGCCCCCACACCTGATTTCTCCTGCCTATATCTCCCCTTATACCCAGTGTGGGCAGAAGAGCAAAGCAAAAATACCCAAATCCTGATTGTAAGCGGCGTGGGCTCGAGTCGAACAAGCAACCTTCTGCTGGACGGCGATAGTTCTAGCAGATTATATGCAAATGCGCTCCGCGGGCCATCACGCCTCTCTTTCTTTGGTCTACACCCCATTTTGTGAACCAGTTAGTTCTGAATCTTGGGAAGAAAAATCGCCAGTCATTATGAAGGGCGTGGGCTCGAGTCAAACTAGACGAGCGCCATCTACAAAGCATCGCTTGACCCTGCCATATTACATGCAGACACGCTCCAGCGCCACCACGCCTTCTGATAGGCTACATTCGCCTTTCTAAGTGCACCCCATTGGAGCAACGTCCAAGAAATATCCGCCCAAAAAACCTCAGAGATTTCGAAAAGCAATTGGTGACCTGAGGAGAGCTTCGAGCCCTCACACACAGAAACAGTGCCGGTCTTATAGCACTTGAGTACCGATTAGAGGGAATCGAACCAAAGAAAAACAAACACCATACCCGACTGATGGCGTGGGCTCGAGTCGAACGAGCTCCTTCTGCTAATCCTTATCGATCAACTCTATCGTATGCAGACGCGCTCCCAGCGCTACCACGCCGCGGTCGCGAGAATTGATTACAGGCTGGGGAGACGTTCGAGGCCCCAGACATAGAAGCATTGGCCAGCCTGTAACTCACCTTTATAAGAGAGAAAGGGCCGACGTGGGCCGAGCATCGGCCGATCGGTCGTGCCCTGCGAGTTCTCAAAGTACTCGTTCTCGCTGACTGGAGATATGGGCAAACCAATGAGGACATGGGATTGGTGGTAAGGTACGTACACATGGGTAGTGCAGAAGCGTCGGGGGTGAAAGAAAAAAGGGGCGAGGCAAGGGTCTACGTAGGTGGTAGGGAAAGGCGTCGAATTTGGGAGGGGAGTGCGCGTCGTCACTGGGAGGACGTCGCGGGCGGGCTGCCGGTGGAATCGATGAGGGAGCGGTGTCGAGAGCGGAAGGAGAGACACCCTCCTGCGCTCCAGTGCGCCTTTCGAACCTCGGGCGGCGTGGAGACGAGCCGGCGCTAGACGTCGCGGGCTGCACGCCGTGCGCGCGCTGGCCATTCGCATCGCCGCCGTCGCGCTAAGGGCAGGAGCGAGGCTGAAGGGGTGCGCGAAGGTGCGGGCGTCGAGGAGGCGACGAAGGCGGCGTGGGTCATGACAAACGGCGGCGCGGGTACTAGGCAAGCCGGAGAGATTATGGCAGCGGCCAGGTACGCGCGTCGTGCATCGCGGGTGATACTTCGCTGAAGAGGGTGAGGGCGGGTGGGAAGCGACGACGGAAGCGTGTGCGATGGTGAACGGTCGCCAGAGCGGTGGGACATGCCGGTGGTGGTGTACGTCGTACTCGGGATGCCCCCGGCGCGCGCGTCAAGTGGTAAGAGCAGGACTGCGCGGGATATTTTCGCCGTGCGTGGGGAGGGGACGAGGACGGCGTGCGCGATAGAAAATCGCCGCCGCCGCCGTGGCGCAGGTCGCCGATGGCGCGCGTCGTGTTAGTAGTGCGCGGCAGACGGAGGCTTCGAGCGGCGGGGGTATCGCCGGCGGAGTGGCTTCGCTTGCACGGCGAGCTGCGCTGGTGGTCGCAGGGGATGTCGTTCGCGACGTCTGAGGGAGATGGGAATGGGGCGGGCAGTGGGTGACGAGAGAGGTGACGCGGGGCGACTGCACGAGCGGCGGCGATCGAGACCATCGTTGCGGACGCAGGGCAATGGCTGCGGGCGAGCGGCCGGGGCCACGGGCTGGGTAGCGGGGAGGGACAATGACTGCACAGAGGGTTAGTATACGCAAGAAAAAAAAGGCATGGAAGGAGAGGATAAGTACATTGGGACAGGAGAAAAGAAGGGTGAAAGGGTCTCGTCTGAAAATACACCTGGGTCGTACAAAGCCAGCGTCGAGGGGCGGCTGCTCTGTCCTTCCAGTAGCAGCTCATATGCGAGTCGCGGCGGGGCGGCGTCGGCGCGTGCGTAGTGGAGGACATGGCAAAGGCGAGGGCATCAATCTGCAAAATGGAGGTCGTTAGCTCGAGGGACAAACCTTGGAAGAGAGGGTAAGGTGGGATGGGGTCGACCAGGGAAGGAATCTGACGAGTGGGCAAGGCATGGCGGGACGGCCGAGTGGCGTGGATGAGCGGGGTGCTAGCCAGAAATGCGCTTTGGGCGAGGCGGCGGCGGCGTGCGGGCGCGCCGTCATGATCATCTTGTCGCGTGGCAGACGAGAGGGCGGCGCCACACACGCGCAAACAAACGCGTCGCGTGGACGCGGTGGATTTTGGGTGGATTACTATTACGTTCGGTTACGTTCGTGATCCGGAGCTGGTGTTTGCTTCCCCGCCACTGGCACCCGCACTGCGCCACATACTCGAAATGTGTCCCAATCACCTTCTGGTCGCTGGCTCCATTGTATTCGACTACTGTCTAAATAATCCAACCGCTGCCACTCGACTCAAGTCCATTTCACTTGCAGTTCGATTTTGAGGTGCAACACAAAGCCCTGAACCGATTTTGGACGGCTCAAGTTGAGTTAATCAAACAGGTAAGTTTGTCCCCCTAGTTTACAGTATACCTCATTTTGTTGCAGTGCAATTAAAATGTGGTATGTTCATTGTTTAAAATTCCAACGGCAGGATCGCGACATTAGAATCATACCTCCCGTAATTTGATAACCATGACTGAGGATTGGGCCTCTTCGAGGCGGGCGCTGAACCTTTAGGTTCAAGTTGAAGAGTCAGACTCGCCGGGCAGGAGAAACTCCCGGCATTCCGGACCGGGTGACAGCTCATGATGGCTTGCCGTGATCCACTGTGACAGCTAGTACTCTTTCTCCAACTCTGAGCAAAACAAATAGGTCTTCATGGGACGATGTAGGTAGTGGTAGGGGTAACGGTTCATCAAAAGGCATCATATCATCATTATCGTCATGTGTAGTTCGACCACCTCGCGTGCGAGAGGTTTTGACACCCCGTGTACAGGGCGCCCGGGCTGCGAGCGCAGACGCAGACACACCTACAACACCAACTCCTTGCGGACAAGGCATCGATGAGGGGGTAGATATCGCACCAGGACCGCCCAAGGTTGTTGATGGGGAGGACGAAGAGTCCACGCTGGCGCTTCCTCGGGACACCGGCACAACAGTGAGCGTGGCTAGAAAGAAGCTAATCAGCCCGGAATAATAACAGAAAGAGTTAGAACATACCGGTCGATGGTGATACTCCAGATACTATGGCGCTCGTCGAAAGTGTGGCGCGTCGAAGATCAAGGGAAACACCAGAATCTAGATATACAGCAAGCTCAGGTGCAAGGGAAGTAGCAAAGTCGAGCCAATCCAAGCCAAGCAGCAGGTCAGAAGCCGGAGAAGCAGCTACAGGGATATTGTTTAAGACCATAGAGATGATACCGGAAGCGTCAGGACCCCAGAGGCTTGGGAGTTGCGCGTACGGAGCCCCGAGTTGATTACCCAAGCCAGAGAAACACATGAGGTAGCGGCGTGGCCGTCAAACACAGTCGATATGGGCACGTCGCAGAACATAGCCACGGAGGACATGGAGGGAAAGGGAGAGATTGGTGCGCTGGCAAGATCAGAGATTGAATCTAGAAGATTCTCGATGGAAACGGATACTAGGAAGCAGAAATGACTAATCCCGGAAACGAATGAATCTCCTGCTACTTGACTTTGCGCAGAAAAGTCCAAGATACTGAGATGGATTTGCCATATGCGTTTTCTGGGCCATTGAGACATCTTCTGTTTCGTTTTCTTTGATTTTCTCCCCTTACATTCAGGTGAGTATTGTGATGACCAATGTTAAATGACTAAATCTGCTTGTACATGTAGCAAAAGAGAATGAAACCCAAATTCCCCTGGTAGCCAAACCTAAAGGTTCAGCAATCAACTGATTGATTTCGGACGCAACATATTCCGAGTCCGATGCGGGCGGACAAACACGAAACGAATATGACACATCCAAAGGAACAGCAAGTAGCGTTTTGGTAGGGGTAGTAGCTCATGATCCTGGCATTTGGCAAGAAAAAGGTGGTGGTATGGCATTGCATTTTTTTTTGTATCCAAAGTTCCACGTCGAACACCAGGAGTAATATCGTTTCGCGAGATGACCAAATTTGTATGACAAATTCGTTGTTTGTGCATGTTAGAAAAACGGATATTGATCAGAACCCAAGTTCCCCAGGTTAGCCAAACCTAAAGGTTCAGCAATGACACTGCGGGCAAATGCCGAGGCATGTGGACATCACATGCGCAATACGCATGTGATGACCATGTGTTCCTCATGTGTTCGGCATGTAGGCTCGTGATGGTGACAGGCAAATGGCAGGCATCAAATGTCCATTTGCACTTGTTTGCACCGCCCGCCAAGCGGCTGATTTCGATGGCAAATCCACCTTTCGCGTTTACCACACTCACTCAAGTCCCTGCACGGCCGATCTGAGTCACCAAAAGTATTAAGTATATGGATAGGGAGGTATCTACAATTATCATATGCCTTTAAATGATTAGAAAGTCATAGAAATTATGAATTATTCTCGGTCTCCATAACCGGCGTCATCCTCCTCGTTGTCGGGCTCGACAATAACTCTATCTTCTTCCACTGGCTCGGAACTTTGAAAACCCATCAGAGGTGCCTCTGCAGCATCCACTCGACGCTTCCAACGCACTACGGCGGCCACAATGAGCTCGGCCTTCTGTTGTTTCTTGAGCTTGGGGCCGACAACGGCGGAATTTCAGTCTTCTTGTCCATTTCAAACTCCCGGAGTCGATGCCATTTGAGCTGAAGGTCGAGCTGGGGAACGAGTATCTCCTGGTATCGTTTAGACTCCTTCACCGTCCGCGCCGCGGGCATACGGGATGGAGGGCGCTGGATGGACGTGTTTGATGAGTTTACGTACATCGCCGATCCGCTATTTGGCAGGCGATCCTTTGGTCCATCATAGCACAAGCAATACTGAATCGTTTGCCATAAAATAAATTGCAGCACACTTGCGAAATTCGTTTACAGAGGATGTCCCAGCCAGATTTCCCATTTTCTCTCCTGAAACTTTATTGTAAATGATCTGAAAACTCGGAAGATTTTGCAGGTCCAAAATCAAAAATCGGGCCGGGACATCCTCTGTAAAATGTAAAACTAAGATCATCTTCCACTCAAAGTTTGGCCAAAAGGTCACTGGTTAATGCTGTAGGATGGACCGACTGAATCTGCCATGATTTCCGTGTTTGGGTGCATTATGTAAGCACCGTCAAAACCCTTTCCGTTGCCTGTCACCACTCGTGACCATCCACTTCGCCATCACGTGGCTGCACTTATCACGGTTGGCGAAGCGGCTGGGATAACTGGGCTTGGTTTTGGCAGGACCAGCCAAATGTGATTTTGGACTTAGAATCTGAGGAGTCTGTACCTTGAAAAAAAGTGTAAAAATTACCATAGAGAAAGTGGAGTGTTTTTAAATTCTGAGTTGAATGAGTCTAACATGTTTTTTGGGTCAAGTGAAAGGTGCTCAACGTCGCCGGCGCACGCCAGTTGGCGACATCGAGCACTTCTATATCATACTGGAAAAAAAA